AAATCAGAATAATTCCTTGGGCAGAACACAATTAAATATATATATATATATTTGGGGAATAATTTATTTGTTTGTTGTGGAAAATTCGGCCTCTGAACTTCAAACACTAACATTAAATGCAACCATTTGTTTCTTTTTATACTTTCCAGTAGAGCTGGATAGAAGCTAAGCTTCCTTCTATGGGATTCCTTAAAATATTATTAAGATGTTTCTCAAGTTATACATTTCATACTGATTCTTGGTTCTTAAGAAGCCTGAAACTTCTTTTTTTCTCCCTTGTTTTTGCCTCCCTCTACAAATGCTTTTACTTCCTTCTGCTATATTATTAATATTTCTTCTACTTGCATAGATTCCTCCACTGATTTTATCCAAGATCAGGATTTTTAAGATTATATATATATATATTTGATGGGGGAAAGAAATAACATTACAAATACTTAACACATATGGCCAGTGGATAGAAAGAAAATAAATATACCAATTGTGAGGTCTTCCAGCTTTCCTGGTGCCCCTTTATGATCTTAAAACTTACTAATGGTAAAGTGTGACTTTAAAAATAGTCTGCCTACTGGGAAATATGCATTTATTTATGCAGTGCGGAGAAGAGCTGAATTTGAAAACATCCTTTCAAGGTTTGCAGACATTTGCGCACATTATTAGGAGCAGTGGCACACCAACATGCAGGTATCACCCAATTTCATTACTACCTGATTAATTAACCTGTTTAAAGTGTGAAAGTTGGCACCTTGTCATCACAATCCATGAGAATAACTAATGAGAAACTATGAAATAATTTGGTCTTCAATTTAAAAAAAAAAAAAAAGGAAGAGGTTTTATTATCTCGTTATTCTGCTTTTCTGTTATCACCTATGCAAAGCCGAGAAGATTTTGTAAAGCTTACTGTCTAAAAAAAAAAAAACCAACACAACAATATGTAACATCATAGGAATCACATCACAGTTCTTTAACAAAATGTGCTGCCACCCAACACCAACAGGTAAGCCAAGAAGGTTTCAGCAAAAGCATCCTCAGTAGGCATCCATTCATTTAATAGGATTTGTTATTCTTGTTTAGCACGCGTAGAGAGAAACACACATGCCTGAGTGTTGAGAATAACTGATATGACAAATACAGACCTTGTTTCCTCATAACGAGTTACCTACAAACAGGTAATATCTTTTATTAGTGTGTTCATTTACAGCTATCAATTTACGAAAGAATAATTCTCGACTTCAGAAAATGGCTGCTGTGAGCAGAGGTTCTTAATTTTCATTAGTTTCGATATATTTGTCCCTGTTGCAAATTTTCAAGGTTTAAGTTATATATAAATGAACAATATGAATAGACACAGATATGATTGGTAGTGCAAACCATGGATTCTAAGCAGAAATTCAAACACTTGGGGGATTTGGATGCTAAATTATCTATCAATATCCACGACAATAATTGCTGGGTGGGAAGTGTGTTCCCCTGAGGAACAGATGCATTACTTAAGACAGAACAGAAGACATCAACAATTCCTCAATTTTGCATTGGAATAGACTGGAAAAAGTAGGAGATGTCGGTTGGAAATGTAGGACGTGGAAAGAATGAGTACCCATTGAAGATGTGGGAGGAATGAGTACTAAGAAGAGGGAGAAGTGGTGGTTACAATCAAAGGAGAAAATTTAAAGCTTTAATTAAAAGCACTAGTTATAGGTTTAGAAAAAAAATAAATACGAATGACATAAACATAAATTTATTGATACAGAATGGTAAAACATCTTGAACATTGCCTGGCTTTATGGGAAAGAATAAAAACAAGGAATAAAAGATAATCCTTGTATTATGGGTGTATATGTCTTGTGGGTGTCAACAGACAGCTTGTTTATGAGGAGAAACTTGGGAACAGATTGAGATTTCCTTCACTCTCTGCTGTCTCCATCTTTGGAGATAGCACCATTAACCTGGTGAGAGCTTCCCTGGACAAGTTGTGGGCTGCCATACGTGGCATACCCCAAGGGAAGACCTCAGCCTGGTCCCAGTTTCTCCTTCAGCATAGTCTCAGAGGAGGAACAGTGAGCTAAGAGGAGAGACAAAGCAGATTTGAGACTTTATTCCAGAAAGTCAGAAGACACTTTCCCATAACTGGAAACAAAAAGAGGAAGACGAAATGAGGTAGCTGAAAATTTGCCAACATCTTCAGATTTTTGTTGCTGTTTTGGTGGTAGCCAGTGGTGATAGGTGACACATGACTTCCCCAAACCTCTTTTTGAAAATATGAACCCTTGTTTGTGTTCATTCCAACTGGTGTTTACAACCAAGGTGCTGCAAAGCCCCTATGCCCCACAGACCTGTAACCAGAATGTAAAGTCCTGCTTCCCACTGAGCCACATAAATATCTTCACCTACTTTTGGTAGGAACAAAAGCAGATGTAAACTTTGGAACAAATGCTACAACTGGTTGAAATATGCCCAAAACACTGACACCAGGCAGCTGCCCACACGACATTCTCTTCATTTGCTTCTATGCAGATGCACAGGACAGACTCTCAGTATCTACACATGAGGATATGGTTTGTTTGGGGAACGTAGAAACTGAATGCAAGCTTTTGGCTTTGCAAGGAATATTAAGGGTTTCTTTTCTAATTTGTTTTGTATTAACAGTGCTGAAAAGCTACCCACCTTCTTCATGCTATAAAGGTCGTAGAGATCATAGGGATCATAGAGATCATTTAGAGATCATTTAGTTGAAAAAATAAAAACAGCAATAATTGAAAAGAAACAAAACAAAAATCCCACTCCGATCCATTTGCAGCAAAACGTGAAGAAGGAAAGAAAAAAGTCACTGTCAAAAATTCTTGTAGCTTGTTCCTCCAATGATGCAAATTGAGAGAGACACCACAGAGGCACCAAAGAAAATTCAGATGCTGCCACTCTTTCATCCCTCCTATGCATATGTACTTAACGGATGGAGGCAGAAACTTTTGTTTCTGAAAACTGCCTTTAAATGATCTCACTTATTTATTAGCACTACTGTTCAATTTATATTTTCACTTGCTATTTATTATGCAAAATAACTTGTTCATATTTTATTCAGCAGAGCATTTGATTAGTGTAAAGCTTTATTTGCTGGCCTGTGTGACAGCACTTTGTCTAGTCTGCGGGCAATACAAGATATTCCAGATAGTTCATAATTCTGACTGACTCCAAAGAAGAAAACTGTTAAAAAGCCAAACACTGTCTCAGCATGTAGACAGAATAGATGGCAGCAGGGCCTTCAGTTATACTAAGTTACAAGTTAATTTGGCCCTTGATGGAATGTCTTGCTAGCTTTTAACAGTAAATAAACATCTTTAATGCAACAGAGCCTGATTTACAGCAGACATTACATGATTCTGTGAAAACCTCCTCAGTGTCCAGTCTCTTATCCAGCACTCTATGCTAAGAAAGTTTCCATTTTTTGAAGTTATCTTCTATCTACAGGACCCTTTAAATACAATGCTATTGTATTTTGTTAATTTTCAGGGTGTTTTTTTTTTTCTTTCCGATTTTTATTTTATTTTTTTAAATTACATTTAACACAAAGTGCTTCAGGATGCGTCTATGTGGAGAACGCTACGTAAAATAAATATTTCTGATGGGATCCAACAGCCCCAGTCACCAGCCTAAACTAGATGAATTTGAAAGGTGCCTTTAACTATCCATACAATTAAAAGAAAGTTGAAAAGCACTGAGCATAAAATAGATGATAGCCATTAAAAGGGAACGCAGAGAGGAGTGGGCTAAGAAGGCAAGTCCAGGAAGCCCTAACACGCTAACTCAACATATTTATTTCAAATAACAAATAATGAGCCAGATTCACAAGGAAATTGTTGTCTTAAGTACATATATGAAGGAAACATAGTCGAAATAATTGTAGGAGAATGGTCTTCTCTAACAAAACATTCTGCATGAGAAAACTCTCCATTCTAACCTCCCACCCCCTCTTTAGGGTAATACTGCGTGTGCCCCCTTGGGCTGCTACACTCCTCAGCAAGGGAGAGATCTGCTGTTTCCCCCAAATGAAGGGAACCCACAGACAACCTCAGAGAAGTTCATGTTTCTGTAAAGATACTTCTTTATAAAAGAGGAAAAAAATAAAATCACCCAAAAATGAAAACACACAAATATGAATAAAAAATCTTCTTCTCGGGGCAAAGGAAAGTCGTCTCAGCAGCATCACTTTTAAAATGGATAAAAGCCCTTCTCAGAGCAAGAGACAAATCAGTGGCACCAGCTCTAACAAAGAGAGAAACCTTACTTAGGGCTAAGAGACAGCAGGAGTGGTAGGAGTACCAGCTGGAAGAGAGATGCACATCAAAGAAATTAAAGCCCTATGGCTGAAGAAATTACACGGATACGATAAACTAATAATTTTAAATATTAAAAAAGCCTTTTCAGGCTGAAGAGAAGACACACGTTTGGAGCAGGCAGCCCAAGGTTAGCGAGCACAGCCCTGCCAAACAGGAGACCTTTACCTGGATGCCTCCTAGCTAACAACACAAATTGTTTAATCCCTACTGGTTAACGACACAGCTTGCTACACATTTTCCTTCCCCCCGTGCTCTTTAGTTCCTGTTAAAACACATTCGTTAATCGTACAGCAAAGTTGCACAAAATGTTCTGTTTCAGAACAAGGGCTCACACACAGCCTGTGCTTCGCTCCGCGCTGGTGCAACAGCTTGCATTTCAGCATGACTCTGGCTTTTCTCTTGCCCTAGACATTAGGATTGATAGAGTTAAATTTAAGGTCTAATTTTCTTTACTAGCAAAACGTATCTCGTTTGCTAGCAGGGCATACAGTATACTTTTTTGTCAACATGGTAATTCAAGGAGAAATTCAGGCTCTCTTTGTTATCAGATTTACAATGCTTTCTTAAAAAGACAGCTTGTGTATACCTCCTGCCTCACTAGAATACTTGCTTGCTTGGTTCCTAACAATGGCTCATTAAATTCAGTCAAACTAGTATGAAACTTACCTTCAAACAGTTTCACTTGCTGAACCCCATTCTCAAAGGATTTTCTAATCTGCAATTTCTATTTTAGACTTTGACCAGGAAATTGGAAAGAAAAGAGCATGCAGCACTTGCTGCAAAAACACCAAAACCAAACAAAACTTGATGATACCATTTCAGAAACAGAATAGATTTATGTCAGTCCCATTCTGAAGGCAATCACGCTCACAATATTTATTTTTAAAGCAGAAGCATTCGCCTTCGGTTTTGGCTGTAATTAATCTCATCTTGGAAGAGCAACCCGTGGATTTGAGCAAACTTTCCTTTTTTCGTTCCCCCTGAAGCCTGGTTCTTAGCTGGTCTGCAAACCCTACACAGCTCATTATTGACCACTCTGAAGTCAAAATGTTTCCCACCTCACTCCTGCAAAAAGCTGACATTTCACCAGAGCAGAGGAACATAAGGACATGATTTTCCCCGTCTCTACGAAACGGAATAATTCAGATTTGGAAAGCTTTTTAGGAATCTCTTTATATACATTTTCTCACTCTCTTTGTTATACAGTACCTTAGCACTGAAGTTGTGACCAAAACAGAGATGTACATGTCATATGAGCTGCTAAAGGGGGAAAAGTTTGCAAATGAATCCCAAAAAGGATATTAAAGCTTGTATTTTAACTCGTTAGGGATGGGAAATTATGTGAGTTCGAATGCATATCTTTTTTTTTTTTGGAGGGGAAGTGTACATTCCAATAACCTTTTACTGCCTAACACAGTATATGATGAAGAATCTGCAGATGATCAGCTCGGCCAACCAAGGCATCTTAATTAAACTGCAACAATAGGGCTGCAGATAGGGCATTGTCTCGCATTAGCTTTTGTTTATGCCTGCCCCTGGAATCCGTGTGCAGAGCTGAGCATGCAAATGTCACTGCACAGCTAAAGTCTTCCACAGAACCCTCCTGTCCGTCCTCATCCTGCCACTGGGAAGGGTTCACCACTGCTTCCCAGCCAGCAGTCATGTGAGCAGCACGTCGCTGTGCTAATACAAGGTTTATATCCCATGGGTAGCTGAGACCACACGTGTAGTATAGCAAAAGTGCCATCTGGAAGTAATTCCCCGTTATTACTTCTTATCAGGACTGCTGAGGGTTTTTTATTTATCAACTATAAATGAATCATAGGGCAATCTGATGTACGCTCATTAAACTATGAAAACTTATTAGACGATCCTTTTACTGCTCAAAATAGAAGTCTAATAGAGGTAGGCTAGATCATGCTAACCTACAGCATGAATGTGACATGCAATAGAAGAAATAGACTGAAATCTGTCTGAGTTATGCCAGGAAATTACATATTCTTCTTAAAGTAAAATAAACACTTGACAAAGCTGTTAATCATCCCTAGTGGAAAGGATTTACAGATTCAATATTAAGATGATGAGCTTCCCACTGATCTTAGGAGCACTATAGTCAAATGAATCAATTTTCCTCTGAAATCATTTAGATAAAAATTACATTCACATTGAAGAATATGAATGGTTTGAATGCTAAAATGTCACTTTAAAAATGTGTCGTCCCTCCAGTGAGCTCCTATTAGCTCTCAGTTAATATTTAGTATATTTTGAATGAAAAATTCAAAGTTGATGCCTTATATGTAAATACGAATATCTGTAATGTACTTTGTAGGTTTGCATACATTTTCCTCCACAGAAACTCTGTTGTGTAAACATACATTATCTGCAGATCGTGAATTAAAAAATACATACACATTTAAGACTAATTTCTAAATATCACCTGTAGCCAGACATTGCACATCAAACCACGCTGAAGATCTGCTTCAGAAAAATGAATTTGCACATTAAATAGCAGAAGAATGAAGAATACATATTTATCTTGATTAAGATGATTTCATAAAAGCTCTTGACAATTAGGGATTTTTCTTTTTTCAGTAATTTGAAACAATCATTTAGTGAGAAGATATCTGAAAATTTACCTGCAGTTAAATTGCATCTGGGGACTCCATTGCAAAGAAAAAAAAAAAAAGACCAATAAATTTAGAAGTTGCCCATTCAAACAGAAAGGGGGAGAGAGAGAGAAAAAGAAAGAACGAGCCAGGGAGATTATAGAATTTAATGATTAAGAATGTGTGCAGTGTAGTATAAGTACATTTGTTTCCTTGGAAACAAACTAGTACTGTTGCACTAAAGAAATTTGTAAGCATTAAAAAATTCTGTAATCAGGCCCCAGGAGAACATATTAAATTTTTTAAAAGGGATAAATATTTGACATTCCTGGCCATTTTCTGACTGTACTTGTTGATGAGGCCTGCTGTCAATGGGTGGTGTTTCTAACGTTGAAGAAATGGATACGATACACCAACCTGCACAGCCAAGAACGCACTTTTAACCAACTAATCCATGCAGCAGGATCAACAGCACTGGCATCACGCTGAAAGGTTTAGATCTTTTAAGTAGCAAGTATATGGCAAAGGCAGCTCAGCACAAATAAAGGAAGGCTACCAAGCCCGCAATAAAGATTCAAAGGGGGAATTGTTAACAAAAGGTTCCAAAGCCTCTGCCTAAGTTGCCCTTACTTGCAGAAAGCAGAAGCTGGCTCCTGGGGAGAAGACAGAGTAATAATGTTCCTGTTAATGCTGGGTACAAGTTCTAGCTTAATGGGGTTCTTGAGCTGGGTTGAATCAGATAAAATGATGTGGTCAAATTCCCTGAGCCCTCCCCTGCTCCACAGCCCTAGTCAGTGCTCTCCTTTCCAGCTTGGACAAATCAGTTTTGCCAGCAAGCAACAGAACCAGGAGTACAAAGAAATAACGAGGAGGAGGAGGAGGCTTCTACTTACAAATTGGAACTAAAATATGCAGAACTTCTCAAGAAATTACCTAAATGAGTTGTCCAATTGCATTTGTAAGTGATAGTAATTAGCAAGAATGTGGTTGGGTGATGATAAACAAAGTCTGCTCACATGCTACAGTCTAGAACTACAACAGCGATGTCAGTTGTCTTTGAACTTCATGCAGCTTTTTTTGTGACATTTCAAAATTATTATTCTACCTCCTAATAAAGAAACACAGGAAGATGAGAGACCTGTGTGATCATAACAAAGCAAATTTGCTTCACAACACCAAATAAACAGAAAAATATGCAGATCTGGTCTAAAAGAATTAATGCAATGAGTTGATTTAAACTTATCCCCATTACACATGAGATGGAGAGATGTGGTAAATAAGGCTTTAGAGTTATGGGAAGATAGCAACTGCCAGACTGCTTGGTTCCTTGGTTTCTGCTGAGTGGAAGCACTAAAGGCATGGGAAGTTACATGATAGAAAAACATGGCAAGAAGGATTCTAGGTAAACTCCTCAGAAGTAAACTCGGAGATTGCAGGCTATGAGAGATTGTGAGATCTTCTTTGAATGCAACAATAAACATACTGTGTTAATTTCTTTTGCTTCAGTGATTCTCTGCCGCACTCCAGCATTTTCTGGTATTTATGAAGAGCCATTAGAAAGCAAAAGCTTTAATACAATGCGCTTCTATTGGGTTAATTTACTACTGCTGAAAAGTTCTCCTTATGTCACATTTCGAAAGTGAAGATACGAATCATATTCCGTCTAATATTTTTGTCAATACTTGAAGTCAGTAAACGCTTGCAATGATCAACACAAACTTCAGGTAGAAATGCCTATGTTTGGCATAGCTCATTTCATCATGGAAAAATAAGCTTGGGAGACATCCTTGGAGGCAACTGGCCCAAGCTCTGCTCTAAGAAGGGACAACTCTGAGGTGGTCACTCAAGGCCTCCCAACGGCTGGGTTTGGAACATCTCCTACCAGCCCCAGAAGGTTCCTCATTCACTAGTCTCAAAGAGAAGAATTTCAAGCTTAATACAACATATTGGGGTTTTTTCTTCATTTGTTTGTTTGCTATTAGATTCTTGAGCTGATTCCTTGATTGGATAGAAAAGAAAGTTAAGTTCATGAGAACACGCAAGTCTTTCCTGCAGTTAATAGAAAACAAAGCCCTTAGCTCCAAACACAACTCTGTTCTCAACATTGATCCAAATCAACTCAGAGAAACAATATTCTGTAAGAAAAAAAGACATTATAGAAATTACACACTCGGCCATTTTATTTGAATCCTGACTAACTCTTCTGTTCTCAGACCACCTTCTACTCCTGCCTGCTTAGACTGAACTCGCAGGTAAACCTCTACTGCTTTTGCCAATGGAAATGATAAACCCCTCCTTCTCAAGGACAGGTTCACTTCCTTTCAGGTAATTAAAAATAATCCATAAAGTACAGTAGACCCTAAGTGCTGCTTCTCTCATGTGTATTTATCCTTTGATGAAACAAATCAGGGACTTAAGTGCCTAATATATGAAATTCCCTGTGATGTCAATTAACGTTGCTTTTAGATAAAGCACAAAGATGCTTTTGAGTTTTTATGACATTATTTGCCTTACTACTTTTCTTTTTTTTCCCCCAGTTTGGCACTTCCTCCTTTGAATGTTTATCTCTCTGCCTAAGCCCTCTGTATGTTGCTTTTCCCCAAATTCCTCATTTTTAAGGGTAAATTTGAGACTGGAACCTCTGACTCCTGTGTACTGTAATTATCTATGGGAAAAGTAAAACTGAGCCAGCTCTAGGGAGAGCTTTTCCTTTGGATCTCCACGGGGACCCAAGGGTATTGCTCCTTTGATACTATTTTTTTAAGAATCTTCGAGTCTGTGTGTGTGCAGTGGAAAGTTTATTGTGATATGACCATGTGGTAATAATATATCAAAGTCCAGCATTAAAATATTTCTAAAAACATGAAAAATGGGCTGTTCATAATGCTAAAGAAGGACAAGCAAATTTGCTGACAATGTGGGTAATTTCCTGAAATCAGAGTTCATCTTGTAACAAATCCATGTTCTGTAGGCAACAGAAACAAGCAAAGCATAAATCACTCACTCACATACACTATCTCCTCTGTCCTGATAATCGCATGCTTTTGGATCACAACAAAGGAAACTGAGCCTTAGAAGAATAATAAGGGCCTGCTCCAATATCCATGGAAAACAATGGAAAGACTTCTGTTGACATGGACGTAAAGCGATGAATATTGCATCTGGCTATAATACCACAG